GAAAGAGATTGTTTTGGATTATCAAGAGAACCTGTTGCTTTGCTCTTAATAGTTCCTTTTCCAGATGCCTTTTGTGGTCACCGAGTCATTACAAACACCAGTGTGAAATGGAACATTTCATGGCATTGCCTTGTACTGTATGTCCAGGAACACATTAAAAAGCCATTTCTAAATGAGACTTTCCCATTTTTACATGTTTTCCATTCCACATTTCTCTATCTGGGGGCCATCTGTACAGCAAAGTAAGATTAACCACATTGTGGCCAATTCATTAAAAAAATTATCACGCAGCATTATCACTCTGTAAAGCAGGGACGTGCGGTCAGGGGAGGCAGGTGGGGCAGAGCCTCACCTAGAATTATGGAGGAAAAAGCTGTCAGCTTCAAGTCTGAAGCTGACAGCTTTTTCTCCCTTCAGATCGGTTTGTTACAGGTTACACAGCAGGGAAATCCTCCCCACTGTGTAACCTGTCATTGCTGGGGGCGAGGCTGGGGAACGCCTCACCTTGAACAAGAGGTACCGCACGTCACTGCTGTAAAGGGTCACAAGTAGACATGTGCACTGCCAAAAAATTTGATTCGTTTCGATTCGGATTTGTGTTATTTCGTTTTTCGGGATTCGGGTGTGAAAGTCAATTCGGATTCGGACGAAATTCGTTAGCGGTAGTTCGTCCGAATGTTCGTTTCGACCATTCGTTCGTTCGTTCACAGCAAAGTGACATTTGAGGGGGGGAAAAATGTTTTTCTCCTCTAATTTCACTTTGTTCTAACGAACGAAACGAATAAGAAAGGAACACGAAACGAACTACCGCTAATGAATTTCAGAAACGGAAATTCGGATTCGTTTGCATTCGTTATATCTGTAATTCGGAATTCGGATACATCCGAATGTCCGAAAATTCGTCCGAATTTCGATTCGGAACGAAACGCACATGTCTAGTCACTGGCTTGTGTAGGAGGACATCAGCGTGGTTCTTTGAGATGTCTATTGAGGAGAGCAGGATGAGGGAAACCTAGGTGGAGATGACATACTGATTCATGAGAAACTGTTTGTCAATTAAATGTTTTCATTAAAAAATTATCAAAAGAAAAAATGTTTGCAGTTTTTGTTTGAGGTGGCATTGGAAAGGGTTAGAACCCCTGTCCAAGTTGATTGCTCCTCTCTACCTGTCTTGGTGAGGCTGAAAATTATGGAAAATCCAAATGTTGGCCACCAGAACGGGAATAGAGAGAAAATCTTCCATTGGGGAATTTCCTTCACTTTGGTGTTTTTTCCTCTCACTTCCTGTTGTATCTTTATATCCCCAAACTGATGCAAACAGCAAAAAAGCTGTACCCAAAATGAAAAAAGTTGACCCTAAAGCAGTCTAGTGCTTTTAATTAATCTGAGCAGCTTGCATTCAGAGAGAGGAAATGTACACATTGGGCAGCACTACTAGGCGGCAGGGACAAACGGTATGAAGTATTTTTCTAATCACCCTTTTTGATTTTGCAGTGAGTTGCACTCAGCCTGTCTGTATGTGCCTATTGGTGTGCTCCGAGCATGGAGTGTACTGGTAGCCACTTGCTGTCTCCAGCAGGGTGTGCTATAGGTGCCTCCCTGAGTTATGGATATTTAGTGACTCAGCGAATCAGAAAGCCCCAACTGACAATACTTATCACCCTCCATCAACGCATATTCAGTCAGTTTGCCTCTTGCCAGCTGTAGAGTAAAAACAAATGCCAGTATGGCTTCAATGCTCGAGTGTTTCTGGATATCGCATGTCACTGACCTTCTTCCTGGAACTGTCCCTCTTGGACCAACTTGAAGGACATGAATACTGCTCCCTCTTCCGTCAAGGACTTTGAGTGGGGTGGCATGGAGCCTGGCGTGATGCCGCCAATGTCAGCATGGTGCCCGCGGGAGGCCACGAAGAACACCGGACGTGGAGCTTCAGGCCGAAACACCTGCGGAATGAGAAAAGGGAAATGAAATGATTATGGTGATAGCAGCATCATGTCGGGAAGAGGAGGAAACATACAAAAGGAGGCCACTTTTCTCCCACTGAGTGGTGACACCCTACCAACGCCACACACAGGAAGCCATATAACCTAGGCCATCCCTTGTAATGGGCTTGGTATCGGCTTCCAAAGAGCTGCTGGAAGTGGAGCCCTATATGAGAGGAACACAGATTGAACATTAAAAGTTCTTGTCGTACTCCTTACAGGAATTCCCATACGATGGGGAGGGTGCTTGAAATGACTGCGGATGGCACCGCTGTATACATAGAATGATTCAAGAATGTCACCAGCACACCGAAGATCCTTTTTAGAATCACCAAATGCTCATTTTATTGAACAAGTTGTCAGAATGGAAACAAGCGCTTTCGGGACCTCGAAGGGTCCCTTCATCAGGCTTCGTCAATGCTGATGAAGGGACCCTGCGAGCAGGGCCGGATTTACTCTCCCTGCCGCCGCCAAGGCCAAGTTCCTGCATTGCGTCCCCCTC